TGATAGAACGGAGTCGGGTTGCAGCTGCGTTAAACAATTATCACCGATTATCACCACGTAAAGCAACAGAAATCCGATAATGTGGAGTGGATTCCTTAGATTGAGCCTTACATTTTCGTGGGGTCAGATTCTTACAGGTAGACGTGAGAGTATTCTAATGTTCTTCCGTAAACAAAAAAACTACCAAATTTGCAATCCATACATATTTCTGTTTTAAATTCAGTGCTTTTTTGTTCCTGTGTTAAGCGTCTAGCTTTTGCAGTCCACCCGGTCAAATGAAGAAAAGAATAAGGCAAAGTAAAAGGTGGAGTTTTGTGCACCAAAAGTAAAGGATGTTAAATGGTTAAAAGTGTTAGAAAAGTAGGCAGACGCGCAAACGTCTCAGATATCGACACCCAGTTTGCCTCAAACACGTGATTAGGCTGATCCCGAGGAGACAGTGGGAAAATATATGATATCCGTGCCCACGTTTTTGCACCATCAAACCAGGTAATGTCCACATGTTTATTGACTCTCCACGCTGACTACGGTTACGTCCATTTCGACTAGGGAAACCCGTTCAGATTCCATCAAAGCTGATGATTTTTTCATTGTTTTGTGTCTGCTGGTAACTACGGCTTGGTCAGTTTGTTTTTCTCCAAAGAAGAGTGTGAGCTCTCCATTCGACAAAAGAAAGCGCGAAGATTTGACTATAATGATGGTAACTACCACTACCATTATCTGCCTTGGATAACAGGGAGAACCGAGGAATTGTATCAGGAAGTATGCTATCCATAGAGGTGAAGAATTCGATTGATGCACCTCATTTAACTTTAGTACTACTCTTCCGGGTATGCTATCAGGCTCGTGCAATCCGGCTTATAGAGAGATACCCAAATGCCACTAAATTTCACTCACCATCAAAATGTGCCAATCAATCTCTGCACATTACACTAAGGAAACTTACGAACAAGCGGAAATCGGTGCGACTTTAGAGAATTCTCCATTCGACAAACATAAAACACATTTTGCGTATGCTTTACGGGACGCCATAAGGAAAACAACAGCCCAATATCAGAGCTGCATCACGAAGCAGAACATGCATTCACAAGGGAGACAGAAGTCGAAAAAACAAATATCGCAGCGAAAAGCAGCTCAAAAATGGCGTGTTTATGCTAGTTGAATTCTCAAATTCTGGAAGAGTGGTTCGGCTCACATCACAGATGTTCCACGCGGATCAATCATCCGCAGTAGAATGTGACGCACCAACATCACAACTGTCCCCATAATGCATGTCAAGAATCGCGACGCTTACGCGAACTGATGAGACAGAAAAATGACGCAAACATGCATAGAATAGTAACCTGAAATTTCTTCGAAATTTCTAAGTGTTCGGCTATTCTTCCTACAGAGCAATCACACATTTCTATTAGTTGGTCTGATTTTTGTTACATTTGCGACGGAATTCTTTGTCCAAACGAATGGATCAACCCGAATAAAAACAATTTGGGTACTGTGATTGTGAGACTACAGCCATTTTATCCGGATATCTACAGTACCCTGAAATTGGATTGGATAAAGTTTAATTTTGAAATTGCGCAAGTTCCCGGATAAATCGATAATACATGGTTTGGGGTGGAGTTGAAGCAACTGTTATTTGGAACGAAAACCAGATCAGAACCCTGTTAGATAAACGATAAAAAGAAAACCACAACAATACTAGCGGTGTAATTGAGAGAACCTGAGTACATCGCACATTCCTTTGAAAAGACCACAGCGGAATAGAGTACAGCTTGACACTGCGTGACAATTGATGACTGGAACAAGTTTATGGATATGGAACGGGTTTGTGGCATAAATAATAAAATAAACAGATAGAGTGACCAATTCAATACCTGACCTTCGCTCCATTTAGAAGGTGGTTTCCACAGGCAAATGGGAAAAATCTTGGACCAGCGCTTTGTGCGTGTAAGAAACCGGTCACACAACTGATGTTAACGATGAGACGTTCTTTATCACAGAGGAATATTCGCGCAGAGCAAAGACAGTGATCATTCGAAGGGTAAACAGGCTCATATGCACACTGAAACAAATGGTAGTAGAATCCGCGCCCCCTTCATAACAACCGCTCAGCTACACAAGCACACACTGGCACATTCTTTGACTAAATCCTAAAGTTGAACTTTCCACATTGTAATGATATTCTTTCCAATTAATTTTATGTATCCGGTGGCTTTGTTTCAATCTCTAATACAATTATGTACATTATCATTTCTCCGTTCGATTGTCGGACTGTATGGCATCTGGGCTCATTAGGTCCTGTGTTGTAATTTTGCAGAAAGTAGGTGTTGAGATGCAAACAAAGTGATCATATGGAAAATATTTTATTTGTACTTACTCATTTATATCATTAATATGATAAATTCGAACTGTTTCTGATGTTTGCACATCTGTTACATTTTGAATGATGCCACATGTATACAGAACTTTCACCTGACATCCGTTAATCACAGCTAGATGTTACTAAAGTGAAATCAAAGTTTTATTATGGTAAATGTGTGCAAGCTGTCACTTTTCTTGTCCCATAGGGGTTTGGGTAAAACAGACCGAACAAAGAGAGATGAGCAATATCACATAATTGGGCTGTCCAAATTTAAGACATGTCAATTATTCATTCAGTTCCTGCTTGAAGGAATCAGTTGTGGGCGCAGAAACAACGTGAGCACATCGTGTGGACAATGGAATAACGTCGGAATTCAAGTCAATACTTTTAGAGTATTAATACTTGAGCGCAAGACCCCGTGTTGTGGTGAATAGCGAACAAAGCGAACAGTGGAGACATAGATGGGCAGAATACAAAGCCAAAGATTGTAGTCATTCCAAATCGATCTTAGAATGTAGTCCCTTGAACATCTGGATGGGCATTCATGGTGGTTGTTCCAAAATATCACGATTTCGTTGCAGCCAGGGGTTCCAAACTTGAATCATGTACTTACTATGAGGCTGAATGTATGTTGAAGCTATGAATACATCAGGAATCGATTGTAGGCTTAGATAGTTGGACCATTTTTACTCTACGACACAAAGGAGTGATCATTAAGCGTAGATTAATGGTGATTGAAATCCTCAGGGAATCGAAAGCGTTTCGCGGCACGATCGATTCAAGTATGATGAGATTAGACACAGGACATTCAGTAATCAAAACAAAGCATTGGGGAAAAAACTCTGGATTCTTATTAGATACATCTGGTAGGACGTTTGCTGAGTTCATTGTGATGTGATTATACTAGGCGAGCACGGAGTGGAAGATATAGAAAAGTAAATGGGGCAATGACGTGCAAAAAATGACAAAAGAATAACAATTTGGTTTCCTTAAACCGACATCCAAATAATTTCATTATAGAACTTTAACTGTAGACGCTAAACTCAAGTACAATCATGAGAAATGAAAAGAATTAAACAGCCCGTTAGGACGCAATGTTTACGAAGCCAAACTGTAAGTGAAAGAATGCATTTCCATTTGATCGATGCATCTTTAAACAAATGACACTTTAAAACGTGATCCACCATAAATCGATCTTGAGAAGTAAATGGTAAATTGCGTCATCAAATAAGGTGAATGATCACGCACACTATAAGGAGAAAAATAAAACGTTACCACAGATGATTGAGTTGTCCATGGCACCATTTTTCGTATACATAAATATACTACATATGAGTAGCAAAGTGATGAACCTCAATTTTTCGTGCACAGTGACCTTACGGTGCACCTCAATTTCTTTGCAACCTTAGTCCACTAAATATCTCCATTTGCTCTTCAACTCTACTTTTGAATTTCCTATCTTTCTCCTACCGCTTCTACTAGATGGGAAGCCAAAATACAGCGACCGAAACCGGCGCACAAATATGCATAGTTAATGGTTGCACAAACTGAAACCTTACGGTGACGGAAGTCAGTGACACCCGCATATCGTTGTCGTGCAGGCAATGGCGAGTGGAAAGATGAATACGAGATGGATCGTATGTTTAGTGGTTATTTATTCATCAAAAACGGAATTTATTTAATTAATGATTATTCGTGTTGACATAAATAAAAATTTTAACGAGTGAATGGAGTGAGAGCACACAGTCATCAGTGTGTCCAGGTGTAATTGCCTGAATGAGGACGGTGTAAACTACGAACAAAACATTCGACAAATAGTTCTTTTTTATTATACACCAGTGTGCGATGAACAGCAGACGGAGCGAACCCCATAGCTACGAAGACCTGCTGTTCAGTGATGGTAACCGGCAACCTAGGCCTATGGGCTTGAAGTGGTCCAGTAACCCCGCTAGATCAGGCGAGGTATGGAACCGGACGACAGCAAAGCTGCCTATCACCAA